GTGTTTTAATATTGAATGGGGGTGGTCTAAAATATTCGAATATTCAAATTTTGACGACGGAATCCTCGAACCAGTAAGTTCAGTATGCCATCTGCAAAGCAACAGCTCTCAAATATAAAGCACGGCGGAGCTATTAAGGCCAACGTATGACCACTGTGCACTGACTTTTGGCCACCCTGTAGAAAATACAACATACGGCTTAAATTAGACTACGGCTAGTAACATAAAAACCGTAGTTCTTCCTCGAAGTATGATCAGACTTTTCAATTAAATGTGACTATCAGGACTCAGGATCCTGAAGAGAGCAGTGGTGATGGCTGAGCTGCTAGTTATGATAGCAGCTTGTGAATTTTACAGCTGAAAGTTGCTGCATGGCAAAGTCGTCAAACCGCAAAACGGCGTATTCAGCATTTTCGACCGGTTTTTCGGCGTACTTAACAACGATTGTGCTAACAAGAAATTTATTGCAAGTATTATAACAGCATAACAAATTTATCACAAGAAATTGGCTATAGGTATAAGAAATGGAATGTTAGAGATAAAATTACACATTCAATATTAAAGCAGGTGAAAATTGAACTAGCCAAGTAATCTGTTCCCCCAATCTTTTCAAATCTAATTCAGATCTTAAGTAATAAGTTATGTTTGAATGTGATAGACATTTATAAATAAATTGGGCACTCAGTGATTGAGTTATAACTATTTTATATATACAACTTAATACTTATATCATATTCATAAACCCACACCGTATGCAGCTCCACTGACAGTATCCGGGGAACTTGCTCCTGAAGATTTAAGGAAACATCTCAGCAAAATGCAATTACCACAGCTGCATCTCAGAAGACTTGGAGAGGCTGTACTTGTAGTAATATCATTATCAACAATGCCTGATAGTGATACCAATGACCAAGCTAAATATTCACGACAAAGCTATTAGATTTAGACTTTAGTGATGTAGTGTTACACTACTAGTGTACCTCCGCTCCTGGCTTTAATTGCATTTTTAAACATATCATATAAGGAGAATTAAGTGCTACTGAAAGTGATGTCTGACGGGTTTCAAGAAATAATAGCTGGGTCTTTTATAATCAAAATTATCACGTGACTTAGGATTTTACGTTTTTGCAGTTTGCTACTTTAAAAAACGGTTTTACATAAACCTTTACCCCAACCCAAACCCAAACCATAAGCCCGAAGAATCGATGATAACCATAACTCTATAAACCATAACATTTACCCTGGGTGAATATGAACTTGAAGAAAAAAAAAACCTCATGAATGACAGTATTTAGGAAAAGTAGAATTGTTGTAAGCTTTTCTTCATAAAGCAGAGCTATAAGTAGCTGGAATTACTGAGGCACCGCAGGGCTATACCGGTCTCATACACACAACTTAGAAGACTGAGAACCCACAAAAGGGAGGTTCGACGTCGAGCATTTCAATCAAATTTTCAATGTTAACTCTGAACGCAACTTGTGAAATATGCCCTTATTTCGCGAAGTTAAGGTAACTGCAGGCAAAGTATAGTATCTACAGCCATAACAAAGCTCTCCAAGGCTTCCTCTCGATGGTATCTGACGCTTTGCCGGCTGCCGCTCTGTCTAACCAATGGCACTAGCACCATGCTGTAAAACATACTTAAGGGTTGAATTTTAACATTTAACTTAGAAATACTTTTTTAACGCTCCGAGATCTATCTAATGAGCCCAACAGTAACACCAAGGGAAAAGAGTCTTGTTGACCCCGGTCGTCCATTTTAGCGGCGACAATTGACCCCCCGACAATTGACCCCCCGACAATAGACCCCCCGACAATTGACCCCCCGACAATTGACCCCAGACCCCCCGACATTATAATTTAATACAATTAACCCTGACCTTGACCCTGACCCTGACCCAGGACCTAGGACCCTGACCCTGACCGTGACCCTAACCCTAGCCCTAACCCTAACCCTAACCCTAACCCTAACCCTAACCCTAACCCTAACCCTAACCCTAACCCTAACCCTAACCCTAACCCTAACCCTAACCCTAACCCTAACCCTAACCCTAACCCTAACCCTAACCCTAACCCTAACCCTAACCCTAACCCTAACCCTAACCCTGACCCTGACCCAGGACCCTAACCCTAACCTTAACCCTAACCCTGACCCAAAACCCTGACCCAGGATCCTGACCCAGGATCCTGACCCAGGACCCTGACCCTAACCCGATCAATTGACCCCAGTGTAATTAAATGGGGGGTCAATTGTCGTACTAAACCCTAGATTTCGCGACAATTGACCCCAGTGTAATTACATAGGGGTCAATTGTCGGGGGGTCAATTGTCGGGGGGTCAATTGTCGCGGTACCTGTGAAATGAGTACCTAGGGAGCAGTAGCTTTTGACCGAGGGGATTACAATATTTCTGCCGTAGGTAAATTTTTTTACTCTCAAGTAACTGCCTCCCTGAGGGGTTGAAGATGATGACCACAGTTTTCTTGATGTTAACAATCAATCCCCAGTCAGTGCGAATGAGTGGAGTTGGTCAATCGTTAGCTGAAGACTGACCTTGTTAAGGGCTAGCAGGACCAGATCGTCCGCCCAAAGCAAGTGAGTAATCTGTTGGTTGTTGAGTTGGGGATTTACCATTCCGGGTAGGGCGTTAATCTGTAGGGAGAGTTCGTACTCGTAGATATAGCATTTGAAGAGTTCTGGGCTCAAGGGGTGGCCCTGTTCTGTTCCTGCATTTACGTCAAAACAAGCTGAGAGCTTTTTAATCATTTTTAGCCTCGCTTTTGAGTTTCTGTACATGTATTGGAGACAGTAAAAAAACCGCCCGCGCCCCTGCAGCATACCAAACTTATTTGGTTTTTACAATAGTGCTACTCTTGATACCGTGTCGAACGCTTTCTGAAAGTTGACAAAACAGCTGTAGATTCTTAGTTCTTTCCCGTTGGACTTTTACATATTTTTCAATACAGGTGTTAAGTGTGAAAATATAATCAGAGGTTTTAGCCCCCTAGCAAAATCCTCTCTGGTTCAATGATTCGGGGTGATGTACAGCTCTAACTCTGAATTCCAGAAACTGTTGTGTTTACCACATAGGAAATAGTAACTTACAATTCGAGAATGTATTTAACTCCAACCTGTAGCTTGGGTATAATATTGGAGTGATATCCCAAAATACATAATCTAATGTACAGTTAAAATGTAAAAAGGTAGAACTAGAAGGGAAAAAACACAAAGTCTGTGAAGGACAAGAAAGGCCCCCCAAGAACATTATTACTTTTCGGTTTGAGACTGGTGAAATAATCTGTGAGATAAAGTTGGCGAGATGTGTCAGCAGATTGACAAAAAGACTTGTTTTAAAGAGCTGTCCGGGTTGGGAGCAAATCAGACGACAAGACGCGAGACCAGTAAAGTTAAATTTAGTAATTGTTACCGGGTGATACTCGTATACAACATTACGAAACAGGTCGGCGCGCGTCGTAGTAAGTAGCAAATCTTAGTAAGTAGTAAGTCTTAGTAAGTAGTAAGTCTTAGTAAGTAGTAAATCTTAGTAAGTAGTAAGTCTTAGTAAGTAGTAAGTCTAAGTAAGTAGTAAGTCTTAGTAAGTAATGAGTCTTAGTAAGTAGTGAGTCTTAGTAAGTAATAAATCTTAGTAAGTAGGAAGTCTTAGTAAGTAGGAAGTCTTAGAAAATTGTAAATCTTAGTAATTAGTAAGTCTTAATAAGTAGTAAGTCTTAGTAAGTAGTAAGTCTTAGTAAGTAGTAAGTCTTAGTAAGTTAAATTCGCAGTTGCATTGGCTGCAGAAGTAAAGGGGCCTTATAAACTCGTACTGCGTTTTATATATTTGGATTGTAGAAACTGTTGTGTTTACCACATAGGAAAAAGTAACTTACAATTCGAGAATGTATTTAACTCCAACCTGTAAGCTTGGGTATAATATTGGAGTGATATCCCAAGAATACTAATCTAATGTACATTTTAAAATGTAAAAGGTAGAAGGGAGAAAACACAGTCTGTGAAGGACAAGAAAGTCCCCCCAAGAACATTATTACTTTTCGGTTTGAGACTGGTGAACAAAATTTGTGAGATGAAGTTGGCGAGATGTGTCCGCAAATTGACAAAAAGCCTTGTTTTCAAGCTTTATTTCAATGTCAAATAAAGTACTTGGAATTAATATATTGATTGATTGAGCAAGTAGCTTTTGGAGTATATTATGAACTTATGAAAAAGCCAGCCGCTTTGACATCGGCAATTTTTGTTTTAATTTGAATTTTTGAGGGGGGGGGGGTGGTGTGTACCCGTTCACCCTGATTTTTTGTGAAACTTGGTTTCGAGATACAGTTTTGACCAACAAACAGAACCAGTCACCGAACTTTTGAGGGGGTCACCGACCCCAACCGCCAAACGGTGCCCAGTCCACGCCCATATTTGGTCCAAATTAGGCCCAATTTAGCCAAACACCCTGAACATGCTCAAAACCCAGATTTAGTAATCCCCGAAAACCATATGACCATATTTGAGCAAATATGGTCATATGGTTTTTAATGGCTCATAACTCAGTCATTTTTCGTCCAATCTTTGAGAAAATGCATTACTAGTTCAGGGGATTACTAAATCTGGGTTTTGAGCAATTTCAGGTATTGCTAAATTGGCCTAATTTTGGACCAAATATGCGTGGGCTGCCCCTCGGGCACGTTGGCGGTTTTGGGGTCCCGTGACCCCTCCAAAAGTTCTGTGTCCGTTCCTAGTTTTTGGTCCTACTGCTATCTCGAAACCAAGTTTCACAAAAAAATCAGGTGAACCCCCCCCCCCCCCCCACCCCTAACAGGGATACTAAATACATTTTTAATTGCCACGTTAAGTTAGGTTAGTGTTGTTATATAAACTGGTATCTCGAGCTTGAAAGATTTGGATCCAAAAAATTTTGCCAACATTTTCTCCTTGAGCTTTACAGCTTTAACATGGACATGAATTGTAAAAATGGAAGATAGTTAGTGAAACAAGCTATTTTTCAAAATTATATTATTGATACTGATAGTAATAAAATAATGCACATCACGAAAATATTTTTGGTGAAAGTTAAAATGTTGTGTAGATTATAAAATACTATTTAAAATTTTGTTAATGCATTGTTCAGATCTGGGCACTGAAACAAACATGGTTAAGTTTAACCACTTTACCAATACCCAGATCTATAAATTGTCCAAATCATGTTTCATTTACGCCCATCTTCTTTTTTTCTAGTCGACTATACGTCTTCAAATTCTAAACTGAGGCGAAGGGATGTTAATAAGACATTATTAGAAATAACAGTACACTGTACACTGTACAGTTCAATTTTTAGACGCTTGATAAAGAAGTAATGTTTAATACAAAGATCCTTGTTACAACCAAAACTTAGGGGATTTGAAAAAAGCGTAAAACCGATCAGGGGAGTTACATTTTGAAGGATCATCAATCAAATTTATAGCTAATTACCGATCTTCATCGGTCGGTTGAAAAATTTGTTGAACAGTGACGGTCTTCCTCTATTACACCTATTCAATTTTTAAATCAAAATAAACCGAAAAAAGAGTCAAATTTTTCTTTCAAGTGAAGATCACTATACATGGCGACTTTCACTCCGTAGTCAACACATCCATCACAGACGCAGTCTTTAGGTTCGTTTGAGCAGTACCCTTTTGCTGAACAGCAAACTTAACCCTCTATGTCAAAAGAATTGCATATAGTTATAGAACCGTCAAAATCGACAAGGAATTCCGGTCCACATCGCCCGTCGTCTCTCCAAACTGTAATAAAACTGTATAAATATCAACAAAAGTTAGGTTTGGTTATTTATTTAGACGGTCTTAGCGTTGATATGGCTTTTTGGGGAGCAAGTGATATCCCTTGCTGTACGGCTAGTTAAACAAGGAATTGAAACTGTTGGCTCCGTGCAGACCAACCTACCCGTGGCTAAGACGCTCCTAAATTTACAAAATAACAATAAAATTGATATCTATGTGTTAGTTCAGTCGAATTATTTATTATATAATCAAGTTTTAGTTAGTTTGTCATCCAGCCATGCAAGCATACAGTATGCAATTTACAGTGCAATACCATTTTTTCCATAAGTTGTATATCAAAATAATGTCCATGTAATTTTGTACATGGCTGAAACGTAACGCTTTATTCTCATATAATATAATAATAATATGATAATTAATTGAGTTTTCAAATAAAAACAACGTTCCGACATGCGCAGAAAATAAAGTTAGCTATTGTAAACTAGAATTAAAGATATTATAGTATTATTATCAAATTTTGTACCTTAGACATATTTATGTTCGACATAATTCCGGCGACCTAAATGATTTGGGAACGAAAATTTGGTGTTTTTTCCCCGAAAAACTACCGACTTTCATCTCATTTAAATATGTCTCGTAAGGCATGTAAAAAAATTGTCTGGTTATTTTCTTACTCCATCCAGCAGTAGCACCGCCACCAATATCAGACTCTGAACTGACAGTGACTGCCAAAAGCACCAAAGCAGTAACCACAACGAAATTCATCCTGGATGATTATATGACGTATATCCTAACGATGTAACTGTAAGCTTAATAAGTTAATAGCTTAATAGCTTAATAGCTTAATAAGATAATAGCTTAATAGCTTATTAGCTTAATAGTTTAATAGATTAATAGCTTAATAGATTAATAGCTTAATAGCTTAATAGTTTAATAGTTTAATAGCTTAATAGCTTAATATTTTAATAGCTTAATAGCTGAATAGCTAATGGCTTGATAGCTTATTAAGTTAATAGCTTAATAGCTTAATAAGTTAATAGCTTAATAGCTCAATAAGTTAATAGCTTAATCTCGAACTCACCTAACAATTAATTAATTTGAGCACTTTTAGGTAAAAATGCAAGAGAGCAAATTTGCTGCCTGATAATAGTAATACTTTTGGTTGAGAATGTACTCAAGTATTCAACTGGAGAAAATAGCTAAAAATAATGAATTATAATGTTTGAATCGCCCAGATGAAGGGTACAAATGTTATTGTTATAAAACTAAATACAGCAAACACGACAAATATATCAAGTGGCCGAGTAGTCACGCATTTTAAAGATAAATTGATGCATCTGACACTCTGAAAGTCCAACTGGCTATTCCATCAGAGTTAGTAGGAGTAGTATGTGCGTGGTAGATGTTCTATAAGCGAGCAAAGTGTTGTACGCTGCAACTGCCGTGTAGCTAATGGGGACTGGGGGTCATCACTCCGTCCCAAATGTACAAATCTAAACAGACACTCTTCCAAACCCGACACTAAACGGGTCCTTTTCGAACACATAATCTTACGATCACGTGCCCGAGACAATGGATCACTACAAATTGGTGATCAGCAGACCTTTGAAAAGACGCTCTTCCATCAGTCCATTAAGGAATATTAAGCTGCAGTAGTCTCATGTTGACCAACTATGTAAAATTATTATACACAATCTACTGTGATTATGGTTTTCATGGCGCCACCTGGTTACTCGTACTCCGTTTTACAGCTAACACATACCATATTGGAGATTGGGCGACATCTGTCCGACAGCGACATCTGTCAGACTCAGAAAATAGGTTATTCGGACAATAGTTTATGTCAGATACCCTACGTACATTTCTTGAAACTGTCCTAAAGAAGGTGGTTTTATAGGACAAAGTAATCTGTGTAAGTTGAGCGAGTTCTATTGCCAAATTTAAGATATCGCCTTGAACACAAAATATATCTCCAATTCGGTGGTTTGCAGTCATGGTTGCAAGGCATATTATCTGAGGATCCAACGATACGCTTTTTCTGAAACTTCTAGATAGTAAGATAGTTTTTTAAAGACAAGTAATTTGTGCAAGTTTGGGGTAAATTTCTATGTGCCAAATTTGAGATATCACTTCAAACACAAGAAAATAATGCTGTCGGACAGATTTCGCTGTCGGACAGATGTCGTGTTACCCATATAATTGGACGTTCTTTGACCGGACATTTTGTAACGGACATAATTTTGAACGGACATTAAAATGAACGCTCAAAGGCATTTATCATAATGCTGGCAAGCATGACCGGGACTCTCAAAACATTTTAATTGAATGTCAAAGATGACAGGAAAAAGAAATAGTTATATGGAGATTTTAAAGAATTTTGCATAAAACGTGCCAGCATTGTTATACGAAATTCGGTAAAAAACCCAAAATTGCCATATTCAGGGTGCCTTTAAAAATCGTGTATAGTAAAATTTGGTTAGAGATGTGAAATTTTGCAGGACAGTCTATACGTTGGACAAATCGACTGCAAAAAAAGTTCGGGTTTCAGGTGTATGATCGTGAATGGTTTTCTGAACCCTGTTTTGGCGACTGATTGCGTGACGGGTAATTATATATTTTTATCTATCTCTTTTACCAAAACCCATAATCAGGTAGAGTGGACCGATGTCAGTGTCTCTCATTCCCAAACAAAAGGAAATGCCTTATTTTTGATTGCCGTTCTCACAAAATGCAAAATGAATACCGAGAATGAAATCGGTCGCTCCGCTTTTCCCATTCATTCACGGCTTACGAATTGTCATAAGTTTTCGATTGATTACATTTTCACAATCAATGCTGTAAAAATCTCTTTGTTGCGTTCGGTCATACCTAGTATTCGGGGTAAGGGTGTAGTTTATAAGTATTACTTATTGAAATAGCTGAAGTTATTGAATCTTCATTGCCCGATAAAGCTGCCCTTTGGGTAGTTCTTCTTAACCATTACAATTGTAAATGAAAGGGAAAAGCGAGCGACCGTTTCATTCTCTGAATCATTTTGCATTTGAGAACGCCAATCCAAAATAATATCATTTCCATTTGTTGGGATGAGGAACACTGACAGCGGTCCCACTCTACTCCCATGAGTATGGGTTTTGGTAAAATAATCATCTCTTTTTGATTATAATGTCCAGGGTACTTTATAGAGTCGAATCAAAACTGAATATATTCAGTAATAAGGAGGAAGTTTTCAACGATTCGAAATTTTTCTTTAAAAACATTTCCTTGTGTTTAGGGAAGCTATCGGCGATCATGACTGAATATGCCACTTAATACTCCCATTCAAGTTGCATTAAATATCATAATAATGACATTAAACTTCCGTGCAAAGCAGAATTTGTTGTTGGAAATCACGAATGACAAAATTCTCACCTCGCCGTGCAAACTTTGAAGCAGACTTTTGCGTGCGCATCAATATTGAATCGCACGTAAAAATTTTTGCATGTAATTGTTTGATATATAGCTTTGATAAGCATGCAAAGTTATAAGTATTTCAAGAAAACTGTAATTCACAATCGCACTCTAAAGTGACAGAAAATGTCGAGAAACAGCAATTTTCAGTGATTTTAGCGATTTTTCTATCAATTTGGGCGTGTCCAACGGTGCAACTTTCGATTTTCAACATAAAACTAGCCTAATGCACAATTTATACCTATAGGAAGCAGAACTGAGCTCCACAATCCCAAGGCATGGCCAAACAACAAAGAAACTAAATCGCAAATATTGATCCTGAACCTGAAACTTTTATTGCAGTCGATTGGTCAACGCCTAGACGCCCCTGAAAAAATTTCAGATCTCTAACTTCAATTTTAACATGGTTTTTAAGGCACCTGAATATTGGTTTTGGGTTTTTTACGAATTTCTGTATAACAGTGCTGGCCCCCCCCGAAAAGTTTTAAATTTTTATGCAATTTTCATAAAAATCTCAACATAACTATGTTTTTAATCCTGACATCTTTGACAGAAATTAGAATGTTTTTTGAACTAAAAATATATCTACTGAACGACTTCCGATGATCTTAATGCCTGAAAAACACCTGCCGGAGCCGCGGCCTCGCCGCCGCCTCCTGCGGAGTGCACGCTTCGCGTGCACGAAAGAGGCTTCGACGAGTACCAAAGGGGTTATAAAATAAGGGTAATAATAATTAAAGGGTGTCCGTAGATTCAAAAGTTTCAAAGATACACAGGTCTTGAAGATAATTGTTTAGACTTTAGTTTACGTTATATGAAAAAATAATTTAATATCATCATCACCACTAATTGATGACGTCATCAAGTTAACCGTTTTTTAAATGATTTTTGACAAAGTAATAACTTTTCAAATCGATTGTACACCATTAAAGAGTAATTTTATTCAAAATTTGAGCAAGCATCGAAGTTGGATAATTGTTCAAGCATTCTGAAAATCTACAGGAAAGTTTTTCTAGCTTACTCCATCATAACAGATATTTCGCTATTGAAGTAGTACTTTTTTGAAGAATCATTTTATAAAATACAAAAGTTTGTGATTTAGTATCTCTGTGTTGGGCCCCTCCTTGAGTTTGGAGCTCAGTTCTGCTTTCTATAGGTCTATATTGTGCCATGCATTAGGCTAGTCAAAAAATAATTTAACATCATCATCACCACTTAATGACGTCATCAAGTTAACCATTTTTGAAACTTAATTTTTTACAAAGTTATAACTTTTCAAATCAATTTGAAACCATTAAGGAGTGATTAAATTTGTTCTTAGAGATAGCATTTTAGTTACACAATCTGAAAATCTACCGAGAAGTTTTCTTTGTTTGCTCCTTCATAAAGATATTTGTCATTGAAGTAAGTGCTTTTTTGAAGAATAGTTATAAAAAACGTAATTTTGCGATTTTATTCTGGTGTTGGGCCCAAGCCTTGGTTTTGGAGCTCATTTTCTGCTTCCAATATAGCAATATTGTGCATTAGGTAGTTTTAAAGTTGAAAATCGAGAAGTAGCACACGTGGGAACGCCAAAATTGAATAGAAAATTGCTAAAATCACTGAAAATTGTTTTTTCACATTTTCTATCACCTTGGAGTACCGTTGGATCTAAGTTCCTTTTTGAAATATTTGAAACTTTGGCCATGCTATTAAACATACATAGATTCGAAGTGCAAAATTTAAGGTGATTCAATATTGGTTGCGCACGCGAACGTCGCTAAAATTTGCAGTGCAAAGGTGAGAATTTGCTCCATTCGTGATTTGGACAATTCTGCTTTGCCACGACAGTTCAATGACAATTATATAGAAATTAATTCCAACTTGAATGATAATATGTGGCATTTTCAGTCATGATCGACAGATACTACCTAACACAAGGAAATTTTGTCAAAGATAAAATTTCGAATCGCGTTGGAATTACCTCCTTTACCCTTATTAATAAAGTTATGAATTTCGACTTTGAAAGTACCACTACCCTGACGTTATAATCAAAAAGAGATGATATTTTACCAAAACCCATAATCATGGGTAGAGTGGACCGCTGCCAGTGTCTCTCTCTCCTACACAAAAGGAAATGATATTAATTTGAATGACCGTCCGCAAATGCAAAATGATACCGAGAATGAAATCGGTCGCTCGCTTTTCCCATTCATATACAATTGTAATAGATTAAGAAGAACTACCCGAAGGCATCTGTACTCGGCAATAAAGATTTTATAAACATCAGCTAATTGGACACTGACTACCACCCTTATCCCGAAATACTAGGTATCGACCCTAAAGCAACCCAATGAGATTTTTCAGCATGTGATTCATGTAATTAATCGAAACTTATTAAAATTCGTAAGCCGTCAAAATTCAAATAACCATAACAAAAAACAAGTAAGCGCTGGCTGATCTGTACCTATTTGTACTTATTTATACAGATTATATATTATAGAATTAGAGGATCGGACACTTACATAATATGGACCACCCTGTATTATTATTAAAATTTAAAAGGGCAAACTTTAAATTTACATACTTTTAGCCACCAGTGACTAGAGTATCAGCATTTATTCCTTATAATTCGAACTAAAAATCAAAATTATTATCAGATATTAAGGATATATTATAAATACTTATAGTACCCGTTGCCGGGGGATTTTATCAAGTTTAAAATATGATATATAATCTTATATGTAAAAGAAATGAGAAGGTTTAAAGATTGAGTAAAGATCTAAATGCAATAATCTTACATAAAGATTTTAAAGTACAGAAAATAGCAATATCAAGTTGAACGAGTAGGAATAAGTTCAGCATATTGTGTTGAGTCCTACTAAACTGAATTTAACTTTGGTTAGGCACAGTCGCACACTTAAATAGTTGTCCGGTGAAGATTTAATAAAGTCCGTTATCTAATCTGGTTCCGGTCGCGGTATGTGGAAATTAACTCAATCTGGGAACCCCAGGCTATTATGTTCATAAACATTTAATCCAGCGGAATGACAGACTGAGCGCCGCCTAGTAATCTTGAAATCGATAAGAACGGTCATTGTATTAGAAGTGTGAAAATTAAATTAGTGAGGAGAAAAACCAATTTGTTTGAGATTAGAAATTGCCGTTGCACCAGCATCTTCTACTACAAAGACGATTTAAAATATTTGTTTGGAGCACAATTTAACACGTACAGGTAGCTCAGTTGGTTAGAGCGCAGTTCTTATGTCTTAGAACGTCAGCAATCGTGAGGTTGCAAGTTCAACACCCGCTGTCTACCTAGTCGTGGGGTGAGCGTCGTCGACGTTCTGCTAAGGATCCCAATCCCATAGGATTTATGCAGCCTCCCGGTCCACCCAGCCGAATGCTCGAGAAATCGTGTGTGAGGGTTAAATGGGGAGCTGTGCAATGCCAATATATGTAGTACAGCGAAAAAGCAAAAACTCAATGGATGGTTACCGTAATGGGTGCCACATGCCTAGCATGAAATATTTACCTACTTACTTGCACTTGTGTAGGTCTGTAGAAGCATTAGAATCGGGTACACAGGCTATCCCGAATTTAGAAGCTTGCTTTCATCATTATATCTAATCTGGTTCCGGTCGCGGTATGTGGAAATTAACTCAATCTGGGAACCCCAGGCTATTATGTTCATAAACATTTATTCCAGCGGAATGACAGACTGAGCGCCGCCTAGTAATCTTGAAATTGATAAGAACGGTCATTGTATTAAAAGTGTGAAAATTAAATTAGTGAGGAGAAAAACCAATTTGTTTGAGATTAGAAATTGCCGTTGCACCAGCATCTTCTACTACAAAGACGATTTAAAAAATTTGTTTGGAGCACAATTTAACACGTACAGAAACACAGGACACAGCAAAAAAAAACCCTTAAGAAAGTTCACCTATCACTCATAAACTGGGCCATGAATGCTAACATGTAATCAATTTTCAATCCCCTCAAAAATCAGTGAGGCTAAAAGTGAAAACACTTTTTGTTCAACGATGGAACAATACATGAAACTTATCTCCGATGATAGGATCCAGGAATGGAAGCTCCAGAATTAATGAAGGTCTAGACTAAATGTGACTCCTCATTTTCTGTAGAACATCGTTTGCATACCCTGTTTGTGGTGATTCATGCCATATCTTCCTGTTTTGATATTGTAATATATCATGCACGGTGATATTTTTATTTCAAGCTTCCTGAACAGTGGAGAGGGCATTAGACTAGCTCAAGCTAGGTAAGTGATCATGGCATAAATATAATGTGACATGATGATTATATATATATCACATGATGATTAGAATATTTAAATTTCATATAACTTATTTTTCATTGATCCAATAATATAATTTTAATATTAATTCACTTTTACTTTTAGTCCGATGATAGAATTATTAATTTATTTCAATTGTAATAGATTTAGAAGAACTACCCGAAGGCAGCTGTACTCAGCAATAAAGATTCAATAATCAACAGCTAATTAGGCACTAACTACCACCCTTATCCCGAAATACTAGGTATCGACACAAAAGCAACCCAAAGAGATTTACAGCTACAATTACAAATTGCAGAATGCATATAAGCCTGGCCATAGCACTGCCAACATAGTTTGGACCCAGAGAATGCTGTTATCAGTCGTCAAGGAGAAACACTGGTCTTTGTACAAAATGGGTATTGATATGACATCAGCCTTCGATACCATTAAGAGATCAGTCCTACTTGATATACTGCGAGAGGCTGGATGTAGGAAAACGACCTAAAACTTGTTCGTTACCTACTATCGAATACAAAGCTCAAGATCAAGATAGAGAAGACGGTCTCGGGAGAGTTTATTGTATTAATAGGAGCTTTCCAGGGAGACAGTCTATCCGGTAACTTGTTCACTGTGTACCTTGCTGGTGCCCTGTATCTTCTTCGGGCAGTTACCATGCACATCAGACTAAACCCTCCGATATCAGACCAGCTGCTACCACTTTAATGGGAGTATGCTGATGATGCAGATTTTGTTGATGAGGAAGAAGAGAACCTTCAAGCACTTTTGCCAATATGTAAGGATGTTCTACAAGAATGGAACTTACTAGTGAACGAATCAAAAACTGAGTTCACACAGTTCTACATTGCTGGTAAAAACGAACGTGACGAGAAAGGTGAACTCCTCAAAAACAGAGAACCTTGGAGATCTTCAATATCACTAGGCTCCAAACTCTGCGACAAAGAAGACATTCAGAGAAGGTGCACCCTAAGAAATGTTGCTCTTCAGGACTACAAGAAAGTATGGGAACAAGGTCAGCGAATTTGTCTCAGTACTCGGCTGAAGATCTATGAGTCCCTTGTTGTTTCTGTTATGCTGTACAACTGTAATTCCTGGGCTGTACCCAAAACTATATGGACAAAATCGACATTTGTCATCGCAAACACCTGAGGCAAATCGTCAAAATGACATACCCCACCATCATTTCAAACGAAGCTCTGTATAAGAAATGTAACAGCAGACCACTCAGTGAGAGAGTTGCGTACTCACGTTGGAAAATGTTTGGTCATATACTTCGTAGTGCCAGCAACTCCCCAGCGTTATGTTCTTTATTTTTTGCAGTTGAGAGTATGAGGGATATGAAGGGTCGTGTCGGGAGACACCAATGTAATTTATTAAAAACTCTTAAAAATGACTTATCAGATAGAGACATTAAACTTGTAAATACAGAAGACATTTATAATTTGATTTTTTTAGCCCAAGACAGACCTATTCCTAAGTGGAAAAAGTTATTTTAGTTTTAGTAGGTTACTTATCAGATTTTTAATTTGTTTATACAATTTATTTATTTGAATAAAGTTTTATAATAATAATAATAATAATTACAGATATAATTAATTGAACATTTATTACAATTCGTAAGCCGTGAATGAATGGAAAAAGCGAGTAACCGATTTCATTCGCGGTGTCACTTTGCATTTGCAGATAGTCAATCAAATTAATATCATTTCCTTTTGTTTGGGAAAGAGAGACACTGGCAGCGGTCCACTCTACCCATGATTATGGGTTTTGGTTAAATTTAATATATCTAATTTAACTACCTTGTCGGAATTTATTTGAACGGACATTAAAATGAACGCCGCAGGGCCTCCAGTGTTTAATTAATGTTCGTTCAAATAAAGTTCGATAAAGTAGTAACTGACAATGTGAGTGTCGTAAATAACTTTAACGTGAAGATTGGATATTAGAATTATGGCTTAAGATTTATCATGGTATGACGAATGATCTAATTTACAATTACTGGGCCGCGCTCAGCCTGTCATTCCGCCTAATCTCTATTCTATTATGTTTATGAACATAATAGCCTGAGGTCCCCAGGTATGAACATAATAGCCTGAGGTCCCCAGGTAAAATCTCTTGACGTTGCTCCCATTGTTCTAATGCTGATGTGACCCATTGAGATCTGATCCATCGATACGTGATGGACTATTTGAGGACAGGATCGTGCTAGCCGTACACAGGACACAGCCTACATGAGTAAGACAGCGGTATGGAGATTTATATAAAATTTATACAACATTTAAACTATTGTCCAATTTATCGACATGAAAATAAACTATGGTAGTAAAATATTTGTTCCTCACTCTGGAGTGGGTCCGAGCATTAGACTCGCGCTACTGACACCCGGGAACGTTAATGCACGGATACAGTAAACGCCGTGTAGCAAGAGCTTCAGAGGATCCTGCCCAGAACACTCTCCATTTTAACTAGAAGTAGAAACATGTTGATGTCACAGTTTCTAGCCTACTTCTGCTGTAAGAAAAGAAGAAATCACATACACCTAACTCCGTTCTTTACGGAAAGATTCCATGCGGGGACAGATATTATAAAGACACGAAGACTTCGTTTTGCAGGACATGTCTACTACGTGGTTATTGAGTTATTGACTATTTAGCTTGTATAATGTACACGCGCCAAGTTAACCAAGATGATATTACCCTAGAGTGCACCATGTTCCATGTGTGCAGTACACTATTCTTCGTAAGACTGTGGAGTGTGCACGTGTTAATTTTTATGACACGTGCACACTCCACATTGAGACGTGGTTACTGTCCGCTGTGTACAACTCAACCCTGGTGAGGTACGTTGAAGAACTCGTCATCTTAGGAGAATTTGGGCGCTTGACTTGAATCTGAAGCTTGAATCTGAAGCTTGAAGCTGAGGCTTGAAGCTGAAGCTTGAAGCTGAGGCTTAAATCCGAGGCTTGAGGTCTGAGGCTTGACTCTGAGTCTTAAATATGAAGCTAGCTTAATATAAGTGTGGCTCAGACACACATACTATCAAACTAAAAATTATGCTAGCATTAGCACTGGGTCTTAACTTTACAAACTGAGAAATAGATTCGAAAAATATGCTAAATGTTGGCCATTTTACCATAATAAAAATTTGTTGATTATCGCGATAATTCTCGAAAATTGTCGCGATAATCGATGATGATTTTTGGGAAATTATCGTCGATAATATCGGTTGGCAACCCTAATCTTGATAGCTTTGAGCAACTAAAGTTCGTGGCTTTCAAGTGTCACCATACTATAACTACATTAGTGAATTTTATAAATTCATAAGGTAAAACCAACAGGAGGACATGACAATTAGGGTTAAGTTTGACTCAATTTCTCGAGCTTACCAGGTTCTACCATGTGTCAGGAGCTGTTGGGACGCTCAATGTAAATAGTCCACCCCGGGTTTGACCTGGTGACATTTAGATCCACCGCTGCAGTAGTATAGGCTGTTATCTATCATACGTTCAATAATCACTGTTCTAACTTGCTAACAATGACCTGTTACTCTGGTCGGCACCCCTGCTGCATATTCTGCATGAGATCAAACGACTAGAAACTGAGAGGGTGCACGTGAACGCTAACAGGGTGCATGTCAGCACATGACCCATGAAGCAAATTCTTAGTTGCCTGTTTAAATTCCTTCCTCATTTATCGTTTTAGTTGAAAATTCCATTTTTAATCAATCTTCAGCCAGAACTTTAAACCAGGGGGAAGCGATCCATAATAGGCATCCGTACGGCATATTTCAACTTATGTTAAGGTTCGCTGAGACCTATTGACGGGCATGTTTTACATTTTCTTATTGTCCTACTGGTTTGTTGACCAGCCTCATAGAGCTAGCTCTGTGAGGCTGGTCACCATACCAACAATTTATTACATATTTTTTACACGCTAGCCTAACCAGCTGATGGTCATATTGATTATCATGACATAAATGTTATTTATAATGAATCTGGTTACTACATTAAAACCTCAATTTAACGTGGAATTTGGACGTGTCACAGTTAAAATTTGAGTGAGCCACCCTGTCAGGCTGTCAATAGCTGTTTAGGAGCTAGTCAGCTCGTAAATGTAAAAACCTGCCGGATATGACCAGTGCCGGGGTTTCTCATAATAATTATAGTTCCATACCTCTGTAGCTATTCCCACGATAGAAATCCTATTTTGATAGGCGCGTGTACATTATACAAGCTAAATAGTCAATAACTCAATAACCACGTAACATACCGTCTACAGGACCAACCTGCTCAACAACTTCTTTTTGGCAACCATCCTATGGCCAGCGTTATCGAGGACGACCACATAAGACCTTCCCGGACGTTCTACTTGAAGACACTGGAATGGAACCTGACCAGCAGCGTTTGCTCATGTGTGATAGATATATATGGAGAGAAGCGTTGACACGAAACTCGTTCCAGATTTCATCTGGATCGATCTAGGCCGGCAGGCAGGCAGTAAACTATGGCTCAGATCATATCTCAAATCAGAAATGTTACGTATACAAATTAGCAAGTAAAAGTTCAGATCATGTCTCTAATTGGAAATATGTCGTATTGAAATCAGATCACAATTTCGGACAGATGTCGTTTTTTTCTGGTACCCTGAGTCGGACAGATGTCGCTGTCGGACAGATGTCGCTGTCGGACAGATGTCGCTGTCGGACAGGAGTCGTGTTACCTACTATTACAATTGTGAAATTATCATACTACTAGAAAGCCCGTGGTAACAGGGACGAAGCTAGTAGTATTCTTTGAAAGAAAGTTTTAATCACATCAAAAAAGATCCATCCCGACCGAAGATACAGCCGATTTAAATATAAAACACTTTAAACACAACGTAATTACCACAAAACGGATAAAAATGACGTTAAAACAATCTTTGCACGTGCATGTGTGCATTAAAACACCGTTGCTATGGAACCTTTTGGTTGGTACCTAAATTCCTATTTCTCGTCTGATTTGCACGTGGGCGGTCGTACATACATTCTACAAAAAGAATCTTTTGAATTATAGTAGAGATTAAGAAATTTTAATGAACTTGCTGCATGCCTATCATAATTATGACTTTTATTTGGTTGAAAATTGAACTTAGCTAAAAATTAATCGAAAATATAGGTCGGGCATGAAAACTGTTAGTTAGACACTAGGAGGGGGATATTTAAAACATGTAAGTGATACGAAAGAGTCAGACACTATTTTATTGTGTAATTCCACATGATAATGACAAAAGTATAAAAATAAGAATATAAATTTAAATTTTCCGGCAAGATCCGGCAAAATCCGGCAAGATCCGGCTGCCTTATATTTCACTCTGTAACCACCGGTTCCGGTCCGGCAAAATCCGGCAAGATCCGGTCCGGCAGCCAAAACCCCAATCCGGTCGGTTCCTAATTACTCATAGTTACCTCCTGAGGCATCCTGACGTGACCTCTTCTCGCGATATTGGTTTGCTTTGACAAACTTTACCGTATAACTATAATACCTGACACGTGCTGATTTCTCCAGAATAAGATTGGGATCCGAGGAGATTATTATCTGATCATAAAGCAAAACACTTTGTCTAGAACCAGGAATGGAAGAATCCATGTATATATATCCACGAACCAGTCTCAAGTCTACCTGCCTAAATAACCCCGGTGATACAGCAGACAGCTGACTATATTCACAGGTAGGCCGTAGACTGGACCAGACTGGTGTGACATAGCGACTACTCACATGTTGTCTTAGCTCACCTTTCTGTTACACATCCAGCTGACACTTAAGCGTTTAATTAAACCAAACCTCTTAATGACTTTTGACTTTTTGATAAATAAAAGTGTAGATACATTTCTAAATGGCACTAAATGCTTAATGGGTGCACTTGCTGCAGCACCGTTACACGGATTTTATGATTGTACTTCAAGTCTTTGTACACAATATTCCTGATCCATACATAGAAACAAACTTGCTTCAAATGGCATCACGATGGTATT